AAATAGCATGCAAATGACAAAATACATTTAAAATATTTTATGAATGAATTTGCAAGCTGATAACTAAAGTGGAAATTGTTCATTCTGAATAACCACTGTCTTACCCTTAATAAGTGCCACAAATAATACTTACAGGTTATAAAATAGCAAAAAAATGAACATTGACTTCTTGACTTTATAGCAAAATGCAACTAAATATTGTAATATAAGAAAATGTTACTTATTTTAAATTGTATTGAAAGTAACTATTAAATTAGTGTTCAAGTTTGATCAATGTGATTTCCTTATTTTTCTCTCTCCTGTTCATTATGTTTGATTAAGATATCACATAAAAGACATGTCAAGTATGCTTGCAACTGAAAGATTAGCACTAAATGCATTTGTCATCAAAGGGTTAATAATTACTGTCAAGTAGACATTTAATACATCATATAAATACATTTTCCACATTTCTAAGCTTGATTACAAATGATGTGGCAACAGCATAGAAGAAGACATGAGAAAAGCCATTATTTCTGCTACAAGAAGTGCTCTTTCTTAACAACCAGAAAAAAATGCACTTATAATACAGCTAAACCAGCTAGGAGGTCATCTCAAGCATTAAAAAACCTGCTGACGGTGACCACAACACACTCTCCTTAACTAACGCCACAGCCTGGCTCACAACACTGCAAATATATCTTAACTAACAAACACCAATAAGGACAATAACAATAAACACAGTAGATGTATTTCACCAAAAGGTGGTGTGCAGCATGCAGTCCAGCTTTGCATGCCATGCCTCTAAAGCATCTTCTGAAGTACAGATCGAGCACATAGCCCCTAAGAGAAAGTATAGGTCTTTTCACGTTTGCCTTCTTCTATGCTTTAACCTATGTAGTCTTTTTGTTGTGTCAGCTGTATTGTCTTACAGTTGTGTGCCTTTTGGTGTTTTATCTGTATTGTTCCCCCTGAGGTGAGAACAACCTCACTTCTTCCCCTGACCCCCAGTATCTCTACTTAAACCATGTAGACCATGTATTCATCAGACTGGACTAGACTTGGCTGAACTAAACTGCACTGGTGAAAGACTGATGACCAAGCTGTGCCCATGCATGATTGTCTGCATGCACGTGAATAAGACTAGACTCCTGACACTTTGTATTGACTGTTGATCAACCACGCTGCACCCATACTCTGTATGTGTAAATAAACTCCAGTCAACGCTAAAGCTCCAGTCTCCTGACTCTTCCTGCTGAATTTCTAACACCTCCTTCAAACATCAGACATCGTCACCTACACACTATCCGAACAAAATCTGCACAAGTAACAGGGTGCTTGCTTCTCAAATACCCCCAGTTTTCTCTCTGGGCTGCATCCAGTTACAGGTAAGACATATATAAACCATAAACACAATAGACATGTTTCATGCCTGCTGTGGCAATATTTTTTAGCCTATGATGATTAGGTTTAGGTGTTTAAGATTGCTGTGTTGTTTTTCCTTTGCACATCAGCTGTTTAATTTAACTTTAATGTAATCTTCATTTAGTTCTGTTAGGGAGTTTTTGGCTTCAATTATTCTCAGGTTTTTAGTTTGTATATGTTTAACTAGCACATTTTGTGTGTGTGTGTGTGTGTGTGTGTGTGTAGTGTGGGCTGGTCTGCATCATGTAACTCATGGTCTGAAAATCCTTTCTGCCTGCTAAAATAAAAATCAGCATTTTTTTTCTTAATAGACATTCCATCAATGTTCATATCAAGTTCTTGTGAAGGAAATCAAACATGTAAACATATTTGGGTGTTCTAGATGACCCTGAATAAAAAGATATCCTGTTTAAAAAACTGAATTAGAAATTATTTTTAAATGAATACTTTTACTTTTTTTACTATATTACTTGTACTTTTACTTAAGTAAGGGACTTGTGTACTTCCACCACCTCTGGACCTCTGGTGTCTGAAACTGGGAGTGATACTCACAGAGTTAATCTAATGTAATTGTTACATGTCTTATGCCATAATCCATTACATATCACTGCTAGCTTTTGGCAATCTGATACTTTTATACCTTTGAATTTTTATTTCAGACAATACAACACATACATTTGCATGAAGTACCCATGCAGATAATCCCTGAGTTTTGCGTCAGGAAAATGAGAGAAACCATGAAGGAGAAAGTGAAACCAAGCAGCAGCAGCATCCAATTGGGGTGCAGCTAAGCAGAGTCAACGCATATTTGACTGCCATGGAATGGCAAGAAAGAAGCCAGGGAGCCATACTCAGTGCAGCTGCAGATGGTCGCCTTGCATTGCAGACATAACGAATGGGGAGCTTCAAAGAAAAGAAGCCATGTAAGACTTAAAGGAAGTAGTGTTAGTGGGGGTGGTGACGTAGAAGAGGAGAGATAGAAGTGGGAGACGTAGATAGAGATAAGAAAAGAGGGAGAGGAAAGATGGAATTAAAGGAAAGATGGAAAGTACAAGAAGAGAAAAAAGAAGAGTAACAGCAGAAGATAAGATAAGATAAGAGCCAGAAATGAAAATAAAAGTACCTTTAGTACTTTAGTAATCTCAAAAATTACTTAGGTACTCTAAATTCATTTATTGAACTGCACCTATTAGAACGGAATGTTAGGCTCTATTCTTCTCTTTTTGGATTCTTATGGTCTAAAATTATAAAATAAAATTACATGTATGGTGTTCCCTTCATGCTGCACTCTGATCATGCAGTTCAAAGAGCCTGAGGGCCAGGTGGCGAGGTAGATCATGGCGTTACTGGAGTACAACTTCTCCATTCAGCACTGCCTACATAGTAATGCCAATGCCTGTCCTGTCGCTCGTGCTCTGGTAAGGAATGCAGGTACTGGGCGCATCTTGAGAAGAAAGTTAAAACAGCAGTAAAGTTCACAGTGGCCATCGCTCCTAGCTGCACCAGACCTGTGGGGTGGACACTGGAATGGACAGATATAACTTCACAGGGACGCAAAGCCAATTTGCTCTGAGTGGGTTGGGGCAGCCTCTGTTTATGCTGTGTGTGTGAGTGTGACTGGCAGGTGCTGGTGCCATGCAGCCTGCATAAATCAGTACTGGGTATGGTTGGTCACTTCAAGGTGGGCAAGACCCTTAAGCAGCTGTAGAGATTCTACTCTAAAATGAGAGATGAGACCAACAGCAAAGCAGTCTAGTTGTTCTCAGTCACCAACTGTCTACTTGAATTGAAGGCACTTTGCATGAACAGACTTCAGTTTACGTCCCATTACCTTAAAAGCAATAAAGTGACTTGTTGTTTTTTTTTTTAATTCTGTGAAAAGTGAAGGGAACTTAAAATAAAATGATCAAAATTAACAATGATCACAAAACCATATAAATGTCTGAATCCACCTTTAATATGGTGATTTTGGGCTGTCCATCCTCACTGACATTGAACGTCTCTATGAAATATATTCATTAAAATCTTCCAAGAACACCATAATTCAAAGAAAAAAGTAATTTTTTAAAGAGTTTTGAGGCCTAAAATGAATGTTATTCATCATGGAAAGTGCCATTTCAGTATGAAATGTGGAACTGAGTGAACAGAGCTCATTACTGTCCACCTTTGAGGACAGCAATTCAAAGTTACTCTAAAGTTATTAGTAATAGTAATAATTAAAGTTATTAACCAAGGGTTTGTCCCTGAGAGAGGCTGATCAGAGGTCAAACAGCTGTAAGCAAATCCACTGTTATTTATATCAATCAAACACTCCAGAAAGAAAACAGGTAGGTGCAATGGGGGTACTGCATTTTGGAATATTTATGGATATTTTGTTAATTCACTATGTCACTGCCAATAGAAAAGTGCTATAGTGTAATAGCCTCTGAGTAACTAAATCACACTTTTCCCCACATATTCTAAAGAATGCAACACAGAGCACCATCATAGCTTCTCTCAGAGGAGCACACACATCAATAAACATGTTTTTGTTCTTTTGTTCTTTGAAGTGTGCAAATTGTCATAACTTGTAATTATCATATGTTGTTAACTTTTTAGTCACATCACACAAACATATTTTGAGGAACTTTCATATTGTCTTTACAAAATTATATTTTACTTACAGTAAACAATCATGATTTTGGGAAAACCTCCAGATAAATATGTTTAATATTTAATATACTTGTTTAATATTTAGTATACTTGAGTGACTATGGTTGAATATATTATTTACTCATAAAATGATGTCTTGGAATATTGAGGTCAGTATTTGTTCTTAAAAAGTATATTTCCTCAAAAGCAGTAGTACTTCATTTTGAAATGCAATTGTACTGTTTTGCAAAATGAAGAGTTGGTTCAGATGGCTGTGCTGATTGTTGTGAGACCATTTACCTCAGTTTGAAGAAAAGTGACAGAATTTGAAAAAAAACAAACAAATAATCATATCATATTTAAAAAGAAATTGTGAAATAGTTCTATGTAGCACCTTTTCAGATTTCCTAATGTGAGACAAGCTATTGAATTGAATTATTTCATATAAATTCATTTGTGGCAATAGTGTAGATCTGCAAATGAAGCATCCGTTTCAGGGTTGTGATACTTAATGAAAGCCACTGCTTCAATGTCACTATGAGTTCAAAATGCCTACTTTGATGTTCTCTGTAAAATTAATAGTAACACTTTATTTTGAATAGTCATTTGTAGATGATTAATAAACACTTAACAGAATATCAGTAAAGTAGCAGTAGTGCAGCATCTGAATACATTGAGGTAAATATCTTAAAAATGTACTGTAGATAATACATACATTAAGTAAATGTACTATTCATGTCACATAAAACAGACTTTATATGGAACTTCCACTATGGAAACCTAACCATACCTAACCCTGGCCCTAATCCTAACCCTAACCTTAACCTCAACCCAAGTCTAATCTTAAACTTCACCCTGGCCCTAATCCTAACCCATTGAAATGTTGTTTATGTTACTGGGAGTCTGTTGAGGGTTTATTTAATCTAAAAAGGACCACTCAAAATAAAGTTACTAAATAAACTTACCATAGCGCTTCCAGTTTACATTGAGAATCCTTTAGTCCATCCGAGAGCAGCTTCACTCCTGAATTTTCTAGTTTATTTTTAGACAGCTCCACATGTCTCAGACAGGAGGATTCTGAGCTGAGCACTGAGGCCAAAGCCGCACAGCTTTTCTTTGTCAGTTTACAATGATTAAGCCTGGAGAAAAAAGCATACAGTATATTGGTTAATCCTAAGGAAATCAGCAGGATACACCAACACTACTGTTACATGCTTTAACTTCTTATATAAGCTGTATTAGCTGCCAAATATATAAATAGCAAGCTCTCACAAACGACCACTGGTATTCTGAAGGCACAACAGGGTGAAGATTTCTCACTCTGCAGCATTGGTCATAAGGTTTTATGTACACTTGCTGTCTGACTAGTATTGCTCACTAGCATTAACTGATTTTAACTAGTTAACTGATGTGCAGCCTGAATAGTTGCTGAATAGTTGTATTGCTCAAATGACTTATTCCAGGTACAGTTGTGGGAAAAAGAAAGTACACCCCTGTCAATTCTATGTTATGTTTACTTAAATATCAATTGTGTGGCCTTTATCAACTTCTATAAATAAAAACTAACCTGAGATTAAAACAAAAACCCAACAGATTTAAATATCTAGTCCTTTTTTCCCAAAAGTAAACCAACATTTAGTAATCGGGTAAGAAAAGCACACTCTTCCAACTTTTGCAGAAAATAAGAGAGAGTAATTAGCAGCCAGGTGTTACTAATCAAATGCACAAGATGAGTTAATCATCAAGAAGTGTGAGTACCTCTACAAAATCAGAGTCTTTGGCAGAAAGGACATCAGCCATGACCTCAGAGAAACAATTGTTGCTGCTTATTAATCTGGAAAGGGTTATAAGGCCATATCCAAACAATTAAAATTCACCATTCTACAGTCAGAAGGATTGTTTACAAATGGAGAACCTTCAAGACAGTTGCCATTTATCCCAGGAGTGGGCATCCCAGCAAATTCAGTCCATGGTCAGACCATTTAATGCTCAAAGATATAAAGAAAGACTCAAGAGCTACATCATGTGACCTGCAGGCCTCTATAAGCACATTAAATATTTGAATTCAATTTAAAATATATTTTGTACCTTTTACATGTTGATGTTGAGATGGGATTTTGATGATGTTGATGTTGAAATGGGATTTTTGACATGTCTGAAATGCTGCATGGTTAGGTTTAATGACTCTTTTAAATGGTTCAGTAAAACAACTCTCACAAATGTCTATATTTTTCTTAGTTTTAAAGCAGTTAGTTAATGATTTTTATTTTTTTTCATTTTGCCATTTTTATAAAAATATAAAGCTATTTAAAAATGTCAAAGAATTTGTCATCTCAGGATAACTGCCTCTTTAAGAAAGTGACATTAGTGATATCACAACCTCTATATAGTTTTCAAAGGACTAAAGTAGACCCCCAGCTTTGCTCAAGTACAGGAAGACTATTTGAGAGAAGTTTTCTGTTCACTACCATTCATTTCAGGCTCTCTTCTGTCCAAAAATAAAGGCACATCTGAGTCATTTTAGAATACTTATGATCCTTTCTTCTTCTAAAGAAGAAGAGTAAAGAAAATGATGGGATAAAGCTCTGACTTAAAAGACTGTTTCTTAAAACAGTGTTTGAAGTGAAAGCTCCTTAATATTTTTTTTGTCAATGTTTCATTCAATGCTTAATGTTTATTTCCCCAAAAAATTATTTACCAGGACAAATAGACAATCACAGTAAAGGCAATTTTGAGGAACTAGTAACTAAAAGTCATTATATAGTGAAAGCGTGCTGTTTTGCTGGATGGTTGTGAAGATTTTTGTTTGTTTAACAGGCTTACAAATTTTGCTAGGCAGCTCCTACAAACAGTAGGGTAATTTGCATGGCATGGCTGAGATTTGCATTATTAAGGTGCTAAAAACAGAGGGATGTCCAGTTTATTTAAACTGTCTATGGATTTAAGATTACTGCTGCATGTTCCATAAGTATAATTACAATAAGGTAATTTCACTTAATATTTCACACATTGTCTCCATACCGAGGTCAAGCTTAAAATGTCCACCCTGTTGTACTGAAATACTGAGTTGATTAAAATTATTTTGGAATATCAAAATATATCTTTAAAATGATGTAAGAACATCTACTCAAAGTAAGTGCTAAACCATCAGAAAAATGTATTTTCAACTCCAGAAATATTAACACCCCTCAAAAAAGTGAGCAAAAACAATCAAATATACACCGATCAGGCATAATATTATGACCACCTCCTTGCTTCTATGCTCACTGTCCATTTTACCAGGGTATGAATATGAGGTAATACACAGTTAAAATCCCTTTGTCATCCATCAACATGGGCAAAACCCAAGAGTTCTCAGCTCAAGCTGGTGAGCTGCATAGATTTGTGAAGAGCTACAAAAAACACGTCAGCAGTGAAAATTACCAGTAAGCACAATCAAGGCCATAGTAAAGAAATTTCAAAAGCATAGAACCGTTGAAAAAAAAGTGCCAGGAAGGGAATGTTTCTGCATATTGCCCTCATGCACAGTGAGGAGGAAGTAAACAGAGGCAAAGAGAAGCCTGAAGATCACCGTTTCACAACTGCAAAGTTTAGTTGCATCTTGGGGTTTCACCATTTCAAAATCACCTTTGAGATACCACCTCCATGACCAGGATCGTTTTGGATGAATTCCACAAAAGAAGCCCTTTCTGAGACCAAGACACAAATCCCAGTATCGGACCTTTGCCAAGCAACATTGGAATTACAAAAAGAAATCATGTGTTGTGGTCAGATGACACAAAAATTGAGCTTTCTGGACATGCACACCATCGTCATGTTACAAAAAAGGGGACAAGGTACAAAAAACGACACCTCATACCCACAGTAAAATATTTTGGTAGCTCTTTAATGTTGTGGGGCTGCTTTGCTGTCAGTGGTCCAGGGGATTGTGTTAAGGTCAGTGGCATAATAAATTCCATTCAATACCAGAACATTTTATGAATTATAAGTCTGGTGAAATCTGGATGCCTCTGCCAGATGGCTGAACCTGGGCCATGCTTGGATCTTCCAACATGACAATGACTCGAAGCACAAAAGACGTGGTTGCAGCAATACACGATCAAGGTTTTGCAATGGCCCTCTCAATCTCCAGACTTGAACCCAATTAAAAATGTGGGGTTTCAACTGGAAAGGGCAGGTTACATGAGAAAACCCAAGAATCTTAGTGAGTTGGAAATGTTCTGCATGGAAAAATGGTCCCTCTACAATTGTTCTCCAAGCTTGTTGAACACAACAGAAAGAGGCTGAGTGCTATCATTCTTGCCAGGGAAGGCTCCACCAAATACTGAGGCAATGAGAGGCACTCATTGCATTTGTTTTTTTTTATACATTAATATTAGCTCATTTTCATGATAGGTGCCAATATTTCTGAAGTTGATTCGTGACGATGCTTCGCCGAACCCCATGAGGAGACACAAAGCCACCGGGTAGGTTGTGACGGAATGGGTAATGCAGTTGCAGGCTGAAGATGGGATCACTCTGAATGGTTCTTTGCAAATGGTGGGTGATTTATTTACAATGAAGACATACAAAAGAAAAACTGTGCAAACACAAAATAAATGGTGGTTAAAAAGTTGACCGGACTCAATAGCAGTACAGGTAAGTATAAGGAGTCTTAGGCCGCAAGGCCATAGGACTATACTCTCTAGCTTAGCTTTACTCCCTTCTCCTCAGTTTCCTCGCAATCTGAGGTAAGTATCCTCGAACTAGGCCCCCTACTGAACCTTTCCCATACCTCTTATAGGCTTAGCCCCACCCCTGCATCACCTGAGCTGAACCATTCCACTCTGCAGGGGTGTTGCTGTCCTATAAGAGTGGATTAAAAACAAGGATAAATAAAATCATAATCCCGTCACAAGGCCTTAATATATAATATTACCGGTAAGATGTTTCATACAGTGCGCACATTTACTAGCCTGTCTCACTCTGTTTTCTGTGACCTAGGTTAAAGACATCACCCCTCTAATGAGCTAGCCGTGGGCCCTCCGGCATGCTCATGAGTGAGCTCCATCTGATCTGCCTCCCTTTTGCTGAGTCTACTAGGAAACAGGCATCAGGTGAGTATTACAGGTAGGTGTTCAGGTAAGTATTACACAAACACACACATACACAGTCTCTGGTGATGGGCAATGCGTTTGCCTCATCACATGATTGTATATGCCTTTCATTGTTTTCTTATTGTTGTTGTTTTTATATTTTAAATAAAATAGTAGTTTCTGTTAACTGTTAAGATATTGGTGTTAAAAGAGTTAAAATAGGTTAATATTACCTTTTGTCACTCATCACACTGCAACAAGGGCACTTAAATAGTAAGCATGATGAATGAGTTTATGAAACTATTGCCATTTTTGTAAATATAAAATGTTCTTGTCCACCCTGTCATATCGTGGTCCATCCTGACATGTCCATCATCTTCAATTTTTATTAAAATAACTCAGGAATCCTTCACAGGTACACAAACCATTATAATTGATTTATTGTATATATAACAGTAGGGCAAGTAATTTTATTCCAATTTTTGTTCAAGGATTTTTATTGTGTAACGGATTTGGCTACGTTTACTCATAAACTGAGCAGAATTCTTGGGTCAAAACTTACCGTTTTGACTTACAGATACAAAAAGGAATCACAAGGTGCCAGGACATCTGGTCAAAATCTGATCAACCAAGTTTATGAATTCTCTAAGAATTCTCTCAACCCCCTCATGTGCCATCTTTCTCACCTCATGGCAGCATTGTGCAAAAGAGGAGGACCTGATCTCAGAACCATCTCTGTTCTTAACTCATAGACCCATATTTTATTCACAATAGAACATAGAACACATATTAGATGTTGACAGTGAGACATTTTACCATTTCATGGAAAACATTAACTCATTTAGAACTTGATGGCAGCAACGCATCTCAAAAAAGTTGGACAGGGGCAACAAAAGGCTGGAAAAGGAAGTGGTACTAATAAAAACCGCTCAAGGAGCAATTTGCAACTAACTGACATGACTGTGTATAAAAAGAGCATTTTAGAGAGGCGGAGTCTCTCAGAAGCAAAGATGGGCAGAGGTTCACCAATCTACAAAAAACTGCACCTAAAACTGTGGAACAGT